CAGAAACTGGCATCTCTTCGCACTTTAATACAGTATAACCCTATGTAAGGTATACTATTTAATGTAATGCTTTTGATTCTAGAATTGAACTGGAAGTCCGTAAATTGGTTTTAAAAGTATCCCGACATATCGACTGCAAAAGCCATGTGGCTTGACAAGGAATTGCCTACAGATAAAAACTTCAGCAAATACAATACCCTAGAGCTAAATATTCCAAAGCAACAGATTCATCCTAGAAACACCGTGATGAAAAATTGAACGGTGCTTTGAGGAAGTCTCCAGAAATGGAAATGTCCAGAATCAATCGCCAGTTCCAGTCAGAGCCAAACCACCCTTATTACTTCACTGACTTTCAACGTAACCAGCTCCATCTCCTTCGCCGTAAAACAGTCGCTTATTTTCTAAAATACTAAAAAAATCTTTAGAGTTATTTCGGCGAAAGAGACTTGGCACGGAGAATCTGATGCTCATAACACTCCGGTTGTGCCAAAAGAACGTCTCGACTGCGGCTAAATATACATCTCACTTGCCCATTGATTAGACTTGCAGACCAGTAGAAAGTAATACGGCATTTCTTTTAATACAGCTTTAACGAATCGCCGCATAACTACAACAAAATAAAATTTCTCTTCTGCAATTACATAATAACTCGCCGTATTTAAATACCCCTCAAAGTTTCAGGAGCAAAATAATTAGCCACCCTCAACAAATTTATTTAATGGTCATACACCTTAAAACTTCAGAATGCCACATAGAAATGATTAAACACAAGGGGAGCCTGATTAAGTAACGTCCCTTCTCAAAATTTTCAACGCCCAACGCGGATAAGAATGGCACACACAATTGCACTTCCTGTAACAAACCTTTGTATTGAGTAGTTCTCAACGTCTGACTATAAGCCAAATGTGAGCACTGCAACTAACAGGCACCGCGCTGAAGAAATCATAAAAAATAAACAGACAGAACATACCATCGCCTGTAGCAGCACCCCATGACAAAAAATAATAAAAACCAAACCAATAATTTTCTGGTTTGCTACATCCTCAGTCTTAGACGCATGATCATAACAAAAGTAGATTTCTGGAAATTCAAAGCTAAAAAACAATTTGCTTCTTAACTGGGCAACTGAGCATGAAGATTCATCGGTTAATTGTTTTTCTAAAAATCAACTCTTGCTAAAACAGATGAAGAAAGAATGTTATACTGGATATAAAAATATTTGAGACAGAACGTATTTAAGTAAATTCAAAACACTTCACCAAAAATTTATATTTTTGTTCAACTGCAAAAGTTAAAAGAGATGTTTCGCATATTAAGAAATCATTTACTGTTGACAACCAGAAGTGGAGTAACTGAACTAACAAATCCAACAAATAAACAAGAGGATTTAAAGGAAAATACGGAATGAGATATTGAACACACTCACAAAAAGTTCACTTAGCAAAATTCCTTTTAAAAGACTCCGTGCTCTTCCTACTGTCGCCAATCAGATGCTCACTGATAAAATCTAACTAAAGACGAGCAAACTGCAAAAAAGACAAACACAACATGAGGAACATGTAACTAAAATTCAGTCTTTTGCAGAAGAAAGTTTATATGCGATTTCATCGAACAACTCAGAATAATCGTCATCCTTCTTTATAAGCAGTAGAATTAGCGGACGTCTACGACCTAAACAAAGTATAACTAGTAATTAAAGAAAAATCTAAAGAAAATTTTAAAAAAATAATTAAGACCGAAATTTCTAAAAAGCCCCTTCATGCTTGCAAGATAGAATGTTATAGAAAATTTGCTACAACCGCACCTTTCTAGAGGTCCTACAAAACATGATAAGCGCAACCTTACTCAGCAATCGCATTAAAAAGCACTACATAAAGCTAGTTACCAATGAAATAAAGTTACTACCAGATTGATAAACAAATTTCTAAAAATTAAAAATTAAAAAGCAAATATCTTCTTTTTAACAAAACAATGTTCAGAGCTCAAATGTCAACACTCTAAAACTTTGCAGGCAAAACCGTAAAGTAATCTTGTCCAAAACAACCAAAAATCTTTTGCATTTTTTATAGATCAAATTAAACAAAAATTATATTAACAAAATAAAAAAACGCGAAAAAAGAGTTAACCGCAAATTCACGAATTGCAAGTGACCTGAGAGTAAACAGCGAGACAATAAAAACGTTGGAAAACCTACTGCAGGCAAGTAAAAAAAGTGGTGAAAGCTTAATACATAGTTACTATACTAATAAAAAAGTGAAAAAAGTTAAATTGTTCGAGCATGTGGTAAATGCACCATACAAAAAAAACTGCTAGCAAAAATTTGAAGCCGAAAAGCAAATAACAATCCCAGAAGCACATAAATTATGTGTAAAAAGAAAACTTTAAAAAAAAACTGTAAGTTAGTGGTAACACAGCACTTCCTGGCCTTAAGGTAATGATACCTAACCAAGAAAACAAATAAAAAATAGTAAATCTTTCGAAATTTAAACAGTTAGTGATTCACCAAGAAACATCAACTATACTGATTGTTTAAGACGAGAATGAAGAGACCAGATAAATAACACAGATACATGAGAATAAGGGATCAGTTACAAGGAAGGAAAGGTTGGTAACAAAAATGTGCCAATTGAGCAAGAAACAAAAAAAAAAAGTAAACACCCAAAAGAAGCAAGGTGTGGTCACTCTTATGCCTCCTTGCAAAAATGTGAAAAACAATGAAAAAAAGTTAGTACCTGTAGCTAAACCAAGATGCTCCTTCGATGGTGTGAAGATATATAAAAGACCTCTACTCTCACAGAGCCCCGGTACATGAGAATAGATGTCAATCGGACTCACATCACCTAAATTAGTTTCAAAATTACACGTATAATCAGCACCCAGGAATGTAACACAACCTCCGGAATTAGGAAACAAGTATCAGTGCCGAGAATATGAAACGGACCTGCGAGAACAACGATACCAGTTTCATTGTGACGAATAGCTTTGTTGACTTCAGCAAGCCCTTGTCGTAAATTACCCCTCTTCCCTGATGACTGAAATCCTGAGGCGTGGTTAGAATTAGACTTCAAGTTTTAAAAATATAATATATATTTTCATAAAGCATGTCTCATGGAAGCCCCACTCTCCTGCCCTCAACTCCTCTCCCCCCACATGGAATGTCCGCTTTACATATACTAAGAAGTGAGACTTTTTTTGAACGCTGACTAAAACTGGAGTCCACAGCTTGATGCTTCATCTCTGCCATTGTCGAAGATATGTAAAACCCTCTTAATGTGACTAATATTTACCGTTTACCACAAAATATGAGACTATATGCTTCCGCAGTTAAATTATAGTCAATTGCATTATGAATTTGCCCTCTATATTCAAGTAAACACCTTTTGACCACTCTTGTGGCTAGCAACTTTCTGGCGCTGCATTCTCACTTCCTCGTTCATTGCTTTTATAAATACTAAAACTTTAGCTCCTCAGAGTCACGTCTAAACAGTTATATGAGAGCTTTTCCACAAAACTGTCCAATAATTGACTTTTAAATGAAAACTGTGCGTTACTTAGTCACCAAGCAGAACTAAATAATCCTGAGCAATACACCACCAAGCTCCCCAAACATTTAGAAACCTCTGAAACCTCTTCCTCAAACCTCTGATTTAACTAAAACTGTTTCCGAGATAAGTGACCATAATATTACCAAAAGCAAACAGTCAACACACGCGTAGAAGTGTACATGGATTTTACGAAAAAAGAAAGTGAAAGCATAGCTTAGTAGTCAACAAACAAGCAAAAATTAGATCTCCTTCTTCCTCAGAACAGAAGACCTAAGAAGTTACACATTGATAAAAAACATAAGCTCGTAATTACCGAAAATCAGTACAAACCTTTATTTTTTAATTTCAAAACTAGGACGAGCACAACTCGGTTTGGAAAAACAATACAAAATTTAAAGCTATAAAATAGGTATCAGTGACCTTCCTTGTTTACTGGTACTACACGCAAAGCCCCTCCACTAGATGTTTCTAACTTATGTGGCTTATTTGTGCTTAAATAAAGAAAAAACCCATTAAGAATTGATACTTACCCACATCGTGAGTTTAGGAATTAACAGTGCGCATCGTCTTAACCGCTTCTTAGAGAAGTCTCGGAAAGACAAAAGATTGGCAGTTTTTAAACCATGATTCCCGTACTTTCTGGGTGAGAAATCCATATAAGCCAAAAAGAAGAAAAAAGTGAACGATTGTAAAGAATAACCAAAAAATGAACTATTTTAGATCACAGACAGCACCGTGCGGATTAAATTCACTTATCTATGGTCGGAAGGCAAGACAAAGCAGTAACTATCCAAACAAAACGAAAGACCAGCACAAAAAAACTATACTCTACTACAAGGAAAGCTAGAGACTTGACTTCAGCTCCCGTAGCAATTGAACAAAAAGCAACAACAAGTGACCCGATATCTTCAATAAACCTTCACATTTTTATTTTTTTTTTTTTGAAAAGTCTTTATCATTTTTCCTCTAGAAAGCCCCCTTCCCACATCTGTACAATTTGTGCAAACTGTACAGAGATTTGGAAAAAAGGACTAAGAATTGTCTAACCCTCCTTAGAAAACAATCATCAGCGCACAGTTTTCGTACCTCGCCCGCTTTAAAAAAACTGAATATGAGCACCCTGAATCTAAGAAGTGACGAAAAATCCGTCATTTGCAAAATCTGTGATTATAACCATTAGAAATGCATCGGGTAACACTGCCAAGCAAAAAACTCGTTTTTCTTTGTGGTCCAATCGAGCGATAAAAATGAAAGCGGATATACATAACTGCCTTCTGGAGGAACTCCCAGAGGCCCCGATAAGTTTCCACATTTTACCAACTAAAAGCAGTTGTCACTGTTTTTTCTTAAAATTTGACTTTATACTTCACTACTAGCTAGTTTTTAGAGTAAATTAAACTATGTGCTTCGTTAGCTGAAGTGCACTATTACAAAATCACAGTAGATCAAGTTTTCACATGCCACCAATATGCGTAAATAACTGTGCTGCGTATCGATGGAAACGACTAGTGCAACTAAACGCCTAACTCAGCGAGACTTGAAAACTATAGGACAAAAGCAAACCGTAAGAATCCCACCAATTCTGAAAAATATGTGACAAAATCAACTTTAAAAAATTACTAGTGTGTGCATTGCAGCCTGCCAACGTTCATTACCTACAAACTTTCCAAAAATTAATAACCTGTACCGCCTCTTAATGTGCAAAAGCTAACTGAGAAAACAGAAGAACATAGTATGGTAAAGAGCAATGAATGTTTTAAGTGTGCAGCGGAATGATTATAATAACAAAGCTGTGTAGGAGGTATCCGTTTGGGGGATCCTAGAATCTCAAAGATAACCACTGCTACACCGATATCTGTTTAACTTTTTTATCTTTGCTGCTACAATCAAGTGGCACAGTTATGAAGCGCCCCCAGCAAACGATTGTCGTCAGATGCACGTTGCTTTTCAGGCAAAACCTTCAATTTCAAAAGTAATCTTTGAATTAAAAAAAGAAATTTAAAAAAAAAAAACCTGCTCCTTCCAAGATGCAAGCTAGCAAACGCGCACGTCTCTATCGTAAAAAAATCAGAACTGATCAAAAACAAACTTAAAAAGTGGATTTAAACCATGGGTTATTCATCCAAGCATTTCTGCCAAACCCTGATGAAAAACAAAATTTGTAATCCCAATCGTTCACATCCTTTCACCTGAATTTCTTGCTGAAGCATTCTAAGTCAGTTTCCTCATTTCAAATTGGAAGAACGATGTCTTACCTAAGCAGCTTAAAGTAACTAGAACAAATTACACCACAACTTCCTCATTAAGTAAAAACGAAATTTGAAGAACATGTCACAAAAATGACAAAATCAATTTTGTGCAACACATAAATTATTGTAAGATCCTAACTTTTGAGTGTATAACCAATTATCGAATAAGTCATTCCTCTACACAAATTGACATTACCTTCTTAATAAGCTTATAAAGCTTTTTGGCGAGCTTTCTAGAGGCCATTGGACTTGAAATCGCATTCACCTTTGAACACAGTTCTTCATATTCTCCCTGGAAAAAAAACAGTATGACTGTCCAATTTAAAGGACCTGTTTTCCTTTTACTATGTTCATTCTGTAATTATGAAAAGTAGGTCACCAGACATCTTAGAAATTCGATTCGCTTCAGTTCAACACTGCGGTGGAGAGCACTCGTGAAGAATAAATTAGTAATAAGAGGGGAATGAAGAGAACTACAAGCGATAGAAAAATACTCAAAATTTGAATGACTGTTTACAACATATTAAGAAAAAAAAAGAAAGTGAATTAATCAATCGATGAACAAGTCTCTGCGCGCGGAAGCAACAGCTGTCCATAAAAAAATTAGGCAGACACCATATATTAACGCATATCGCATATTCATCGCATACTTTTCAGCCGCTTAGCAACTTCACTTACCAAAACTGTTCAAAAAATCCCATTTTTTATCACCGGCAAGTTTTTTTAAAAATTATTGTTTCTAAAACCTGTCTGAAAATCATTCGCACAGTCCCATTAACCGTTCCAGTCGAATGAATAAAGTCTAAAAATGTTAAAATGTTGTTGAAAATTTCAAGACATTTCCACTCGTCACCGCTGCTCTTTTACCCCTCTAAATTTTCAAAAAAATATAGACCTTTTCATTCTCAAAGAGCCTCTAAAGACCCTGCTAAAAACAAGCGACTGAGCGCTGAAACAGTTCCAACTGTTCAAACATGAAAGTTACAACAAACATAACTCCCGAACGATTTTCAATCATCTACGATGATCCTTAGGTTCATGCAACCCGTAGCCTTTAGAACAAGCTAACAAAGAACAATTGAATTACACCGGTCTGACCAGATGCAACCTGTTATTTACCAGGTTACATGATATTTTTTCAAGCTATCCCGTGTTTTCCACGGAGACCTACTACAGTTTCCAAAAGTTTTTCGTCTCTTAGGGATTCCATTCAGGAACCAGCTTATACTCACTTAAAGTTTCAATAATGAGCTATTTGGACACGTAAGTTCAGCAGGGGGTCGTGGACCAAAAACACTAAATTTTTCACTGGTAGTTGTTCAAAGCCAAATGTTCCAAGAGAACCTATTGATACCTACCGTAATCCATAAAGTATCAAGAGCTACGATTCCGAATGGCATGTAAACCCAAAAAAAAAACCTGCTATTTTTACAGTAATCCCATATATTTTACAGTGGCGAAACCATCCAAAGCCGCTTCTGAAGGCCGCAGCGGACAGCCAGACAAATCCGGTACGCTTTAAACGTTGAAAATTCGTTACAAAAGTTGTACTTTACTATGGTAACATTTATAAAGTACTATTCTGCAGAGTTGTGAGTGGTAGCCTTCACTCCAGCGTCTTCTACTTCCCGCATTTCGTGGTTCCTGATCTCTTAGAATTGTCTTTATTCTGCACTCATTAATTTTGGTTGCACAGTTGAACAGAAGCTCGACTTTTTAGTTTTTCTTTGAAATTATGTGCTTTAGTTCCCCCCAAAAAATAAAAAGCTTCAAGAAAAAACTTTATCCAACAACGAACTATTTAAGATAACAAGTTTTTAGACTTCTCTGCGAAATGCCGAAATGTATACTAGCTACATAATTTTGACGGAATAAAACAAAGGAACAGTACACTACGAACCTCCGAGCAATTTAGCTTTTTAGCACCTTTATGAGTGGCATGTTTCCTGTTACAACTGACGTTTCATCATTAAATACAATAAATATATATAATTTACTGAGACATCCTCCAGTTCTGCTAGTACAAATACACGTATATTTTTCAAAATTCTCAGCTTTTATACAATTGAAAAAAACCATTTTTGGAAAAAATTATTACTACTACTTTTTCAGTCCGTGACGGTCTGCTTCCTTAATGAACCCTCTTGACTCGAATATTTTACACTCAGTACTGGCCGTGGACCGCAATTACTATCATGCTGTTACTCATCCGACACTTTTTGGTAAAAATCAAAGCAATTTTTGTGTGCCTTCCCGTGGTTAATCTATGCGAACATATTGCGATGAAAAGTCTTTTCTCACCATACTGTTTTGAAGATACAAACACTACTGAATTTCCGGCTCGACGTCCAGCTACCAAGTTAATATCTTTTGCAGACTAGCTGTCGCTGGTAATCTTTTCAATGCGCCTCTTAAGCAATTACTGGCACCTCTTTCACGCGACCTTGCAAAGAGTACCATTCTATTTCAACTCCGGACCCCGTAAAGAACAGGATTTGCAGTTTCTCCAATCTTTCAAATAAGATGCAGCGCCGTCAGAAAAACGGATAATTTTCTTGAACACATTAATTCCCTACTTCAATTTACGTCGACATAGGTGTAAGGCTACCGTATATGGATGAGACAAAATGATTTCACAGCAACATCACACATACAGTAGAAGTCGCAGAACATTCAGAACACAAAGCGCACTGCAAGTGAACAACGATTTTCTTATTCGTGCAGTGTCATCTCCTGGTAGCATCCTTAAACCATCACCGCATGATTCTGAGGAAAGTTGTAAATTACTACAGCTTCACTATGTTCAAAAAAATTCTTTTTCTCTTTTCAAAACACGCTTTTATTGGAAGCAGAGAATGGAAGCTGCAATAAACTCAGAAGCACAAGCAAGAAAGTCTTCAATAAACTCTTAGAAGGTTAAACCACAGAACAAGGTTGTACCAACCTCCTGTCGTTTTGTTTATATCGGAATGTTAACAATACCATTCTCATCAAAAACTATCTCTTACAAAATCGATTACTTTCTAATTATTTGCACGAAAAAGGGTGTCCAAAAAAAAGCATTTTCCTTCTACTTCCTCGCAGGCCACCATTTTAAAAGCCTTGCAACTATCAATGTAATGGCTTGAGTCTTCTCTGGCTGTATTCGGATGCGTTTCTCCGATCATAAACTTGATATTTTGGTGAATACCACAGACTCATACCAAGTGAGTACCAGGAGCTCCTGGAAGAATACATTTCTAGGCTTTACCAAATTAAACTTTGAGAATTCTACCATCATATTCGCTTCCACATCCTTAAATGAACTATACTTTTCTTTTAAAGCATACAGAATAAGACGCTTACAAACCTGTTTCTTCTCCTCATCTTCTCTGAAGCTGATGTAACAATTTCTTTCTCGCTACTGTCAACTAGCTCGTCAAAGAAAAAGTACTGTATCATCTTTTCACAACTTCTGCAGATAACACTTGTTGTAGATCAAGAGAATTCACTACGCTTCTCTCTTTCACTAGACATCTAGTTTGCCCAGCCATGCGCGATATCGTTGAGAACTCTGTCTACCCCATCCAACGACCAGCTTTTCCGTAAAAATGTCAAGCTAGCCACCTATTCACTCCTGCTGGAGGTAGAGAACTTTTTTTAATTGACAAATCCATCTCTCTTCTTAGCCTATGACTGTTTTCTTCTCCATCCAAAACAGACCGGTTCCCAGGGACCCTTGTGCCTCGGCGAACTTCCTTTCGAAGTGGCTTTTCTGGCTTAAAATGTCTTCTAACCGCAGTTTCTCCGATCCTCGCTAGATTCTTTTTTATTGCCACAGTTGGTCGGTGGCTAAAGTCCACATTTGAGAAGTGCGAAAACAGTGCATTAAGTTTAAAATCTACAAACCTGTACAGTAGGCTTCTATAGCAAAAGGCAATGGATAGTTTTATCTCTTTCCAACCATAGTATCAGAGATGTTTCAAATCTCGGCATCGTCAGTGAATCTTGAAAACTTTCTCCCGGTTCATTTGGAAACAACTTTTAAATTATCTGTTCAGAAAGTACGGCCATGCCAATTTCTCGGACTACAACAGCAAATACCAGATAACGCAGCCTTTCCAAAATTCATGCTTTACGCAAGTTGAGCGAACAGAATGATGTGGATGAACCTTTTTTTGGTTGCTATCCCTATCACCAACTTTCCCAACTTCGTCTCGAGACTAGTTGCTTAATGTTTGTCATATTGCTCCTCCATCTACCTTTATGCAAAAATGTCCACTGTGAACAAACTTTTTTTTGTCGCTGAACCTTCATCGAAACTTCTGTTCACCAGAAAAATGCAGAAGTTTCACTTCTTTATGCCACATAATGCTGAAAAAACAATAGCAAAAACAATATTCGCATCAACAACCAGCACTGAGTATGAAACTATTGGGTCAGAAGAGTCTAATAAGAAATCAAAGCGATACAGATCAAAAAATATACGTAACAATAATTTTTATTTCAAAAATTACTTGAAAGCTGGAAATCTTCAACCATATACCTATAATTAAAGTAGCAAAACTGAAAATGTTCTAATAAACCATATATTTTACTATAATTAACTATATTTTAGTTGAAACAAAAAATAATCCTTACAAAGGCGCTGGAATGATGAACTTCTTGTGGATTTTTTATGATCTACTGTAACCAATCACTGTAATTTTGATATCATAAAGATATCACCTTACGATTCTAATGTTATTTAAAAATCATGCCTTCAAACGACTTATCCTTTATAAAAAGTTTAAATCATCGTTTTCCCAAAAATAACTATTTGAATTCTTGTTCTCATTTCAGTCTTCCAAAAAACCTGTTAATGTACTCATATTACCGCCCTTTTGAATTCAGAAAACAGACTTTCAAGTGAACTAAAAAATACAAAAATTCCTGACAAATTAAGAAATTTACAAGTTTCTCAAGCCGATTAAATTTAACAGAGACTATTTTTTTCCGTATTTTAGATTGGTTTAACTTTGCCACTATCGAGCTCTTTCAAGTAAGCACTACTGATTTTACGGTTGGGTATTAAGTACCACAATTTTTAAAGAATAGAGGAAATCTGAGAAAATGAATGAGCAGTGCTTTAGTTTTAACAAAACAAGTAGTAAAAAGAGCAAAAAACCAATCGCCAAACCAAACTCCAAAAGATAACCCAGTAAGGGCATTGAAACCCTATAAAATTCGGCAATATTCACAAGTGTGGCAAACAGAACGATGCAAGAAAAGGCGCAATTTCCACATGTCAAGTAAAAACGTCTCGACTGGAGCTTAAACAGGCATCTTTTTTTCAGAGGGTAGTCATGAGCACCATTGCATTTCCTCCCTCCCATAGAAAAGAAATTTTTTCAACAGTTTAAAGGTGAAGTCTACTGCAGAACAAGTAATCTGTTGCAACTGGAAAAGTCCAGCCCACAATCTAACAAAAAAAATCCTGTAAAAATCAATATATAATTTAAAAAACCAGAACTATGTTTCACAGCAAATTAAAACAAGACTCATAGATGTCAAACCTTGTCGGCACACGGAATGACAGCTGCCTTCTGCTCATGTTCATCCGCACTAGGCTCCTCCTTAACTTTCACCATACCTGAAAAAGAAAAATCATAACTACAAGAACAGACAACGGACGCCTACTACACCGCTGAGAACCACCTAACTACAACGGGAAGGATAACTGCTACCAATAAACCGCTGTACGCCCCCCCGTGTAGCACTGACGCAACTCTAACGGTCCAGTGCAACCCCTAGAATGCCAAAATCACCAACGCACACATCAACACTAAAAACAGATTACAATTACTTCTAGCAAAGTTTGTTCTCATCACAAATGCCGAACTAACTGAAGAATCTACTTCCTTAAATAACCGCCCTCTACTCTCCCAAACACCAAATGAATCCAGCATAATCACTTAATTCGGACAGAACTGAAAAACACGGATTTGATAGTGAGTTTTGAATCGCTGTCCAAAGAGTTTTCCGTTGAATCGCCTGGCAAAACAAAATTAAAAAAATAGAGAAAACATAAAAAGAACTTTATTTCTCAAGAACACAACAATAACACAGGGAATCTCTACTATAAAATTCCGTGATAATAATAATAATAATAATGACAAACTTCAGTTCGCAACTAAACAATGTAGCGTAACAACATAAAGATTTAAAACGGAATACAAGAAAACAAAATGGAGGAATTACTGACATGACAAATATGCAGAAATTGTTAGAAACGTCCAAAAAACGGGTAAAAACAAGTCCCACCAAAGCTCTTCCCAGTCACAAACAAAGAAAGACGCCACTATGCCGGATAGCCTTTCATGGCAGAACAAATAAATCAGCACAATGTAAGTTTTAGTCACTGTCGTCAAACTTTATGGAATTTACTTTCATACTGATCGAACCGCCCCCGTAGCTTCCTCGTTTTTTCTTTGTCTTTTCATGCCGGAATCCTTTGCCCTGAACGTTCTTGAATGTCTCGTGAGCTTTTTGACCCCAGGGGTCGTGATCCTAAACGAAATTAAAAAGTATTAGACCTTGAAGTAGAGCCCTACCACGACTCAAAACAACAACTAAACAAGATCATTATCAAGATTCTGCAAAAGCAGTGCCATCAAGAAAAAAATAATTCACTTCCCTCACAACTTCCAATCCACTTTATAAACTGTCATCTACTCTTAATAGTTTCAAACTCTAAAAAACACGAAAATCTTACAGATTTATATGAATTATCCCTGAACTTTGCATCTAACTGTTCCTTCTTAATCTTCACTCGCCGGTATGGTTCGGTCTGACGTTTCTAAATTCAGAATAAAAGGCGGTCAAATCAAGCACGTACCGTAAGCACAAAAAATCCATAAACAAAATCAAAAATTATTTCCCTGCCAATAATAAAAGCGATATAACAGAGAGCCGAGATAAAAACCTGAAGAAAAGAAAGCCCTAAAGAAACAATAACAATTACGTACTTGTAAATCCTTTATCTGAAAACTTTAAAATGAAGAAATCGCTAATGAGAACTTGAGAAGCTACAAATCAGAGCCTTAACGTTCTTAAAAATGATCCACAGTAGTTCATTAACTAATAATGAAAATCTTTAAAACAACCCAGCTCTGAATGAAAAAGTAACAATTCTAATAAACAAATTAAACAGATAAACCTTATTCTGCAATGCAGAATCAACAGACGTAAAGCCGCCCTGTCGTCCTTCAGAAATCCCACTCCGATCAAGTGAGAGAGTTTTTTCGCCTGTTTTTTCACCAGACGCCTGAAAATGGAGAGAAACTGACACACCATATCATAGAAAAAGAGGGGGGAACAAGAGAAGCAAGCAGGAAACAAAACGAAAAATTCACGTCTTCAAGCTAGATGAATGCATGATAGAAACAAAGAGCTTAATTTAGCACTTAAATTATTTCGCTTTCCCTTCTACAAAGACCTTTCCAGAAAAACTTTCCCTCCAAATATTGTTATTAATAGACATCCAACTGCTAGAATGACCAAATGCAGCATTTGCTATAGCAAGAAAAAAAATACACACACGACACTTTGCTAAAATGCAATAGAAAAATTGTTAGCAACCCACTGCATGACTTCCTTAAAACGTCTGTCGAAAAACGTTGCGTATCAGCATCAAAAAAAAAAAAAAAAA